AAATAATGTAATACAAGTATTCAAATACTTGTACACAAGTGTTCACAGCAGCACTATTTACAATAGTCAAAAGTGGAAAACTAAATGTCTATACTGATGAAACAGATAACAGGAAGCAGGGAGGAGGAAGGGGAAGAGGAAAGGGGGAGGAGGAGGAAGGAGAAAGAGGAAAAGAAGAAGAAAGAAAAACTTTGCTAAATGAAAGAAGCTAGACACAAAAGGTCACATATCATATAACTCCATTTACATAAAATATCTAGAACAAGCAAATCCATAGAAACAGAAAGCGAATTGGTGGTTGCCAGAGCCTAGGGAGAAGGGGAAATGGGAACTGACAGCTTCTTATGCACAGGGATTCCTCTGGGGGTAACAAAAATGTCTTGGAACTATACAGGGGTCATAATGATACAACACTGTAAATGTACTAAATGCCGCAGAATTGAACAGTTTAAAAGGGCTAATGGTTAATTTGTTGTTGTTGTTGTTTTGTTTTGTTTTTGCTAATGGTTTTTATGTGAATTTTGCATCAAGTTTTTAAAAATAACCCAACTGATTAAAAACTTGGTCTGGAAAAGAAAAAGATGAGCCAGAAAGTAAAGTACTACTCAGAGAATGACAGGGATGTACAAAAGGACACAGGATCCATCCTATGGATCTCTAGTTAAGAAATTACTTAACTGAGAGTATAAACATATTTTTGTTTTTAAGCTACATTAGCAAAGCTTATTTTTCAAAAATGTCCCCTATTAAAGCCCAAGTATATTCTTAAATATTTTATATCTAATTGTAAAAATTGTTTTTGGAATTCTTGTTTTATATTTGTTAAACTAAACAATACTTAAATATAACTTTTTGTACTTGAAATATTTTTTAAAAGGCCTATAATTAATGACTTGAATTTTAACATCAGCTACAGTTATCTGAAAACTAATCTCCCTTTTCCTAGCTAGTCTCTGGTTATTGAGTTTTGTGTTTATATTATCTATTTTGAAAAGATTTTCAAATCTTTCTATTTTCTCCCACATAATCCTACTAATAGATCATAAAATACCTAAAACATGAATGGAAACATGCCCTTAATTACTTCCTGGTACTTAATCACAAAGATTTGCAGAAGAACACATGCTTTTAATAATTTGTTTATCTTTTTATAACTATAATATAGATTCTTCATAAGCATATGATCTATGAAAAAGAATATTCAAGTCACCAATATTTACCACCCAGATACATTTGCAGTACATTCTTCCTAATTTTTAGATTCATATACAAACTATTTAAAAACCAAAAGTGTCAAATCACAAAAACAAACAAAAGAAAAAATCATAGGAGCCAACTTGAAGGAGTTTCCACTGGCCAAATCTAGGACAATTTGAACATCAAAATTGTGTTTATCTACTGGTTGGTGGCTTTGTGGAGTCACATAGGAACTTGTACTTGGAATTTTAATATTCCATAATCACTATCTTGAAATGCTTAATCATTTTATTTATTTATTTAATAATTTATAAGTGAAGTCTCATAGCATAATGGAACATGTTAACAGTTTAGAGCCTCTGCTCACACGTGGGCCTGACTCTTGCTGCTGTCCATTCCCCACCCCTGGTTCCCTGATCCCTGCTGGGCTTTGCATTCCCTTCATCTAACTCAAGGGCAGTGACCACTCACCCAGTTAATGACCTAGTCACCTTGGCTGGGGAAGGCCCACATTCCACCATCATCTTCCACTGTGGTAGCACTCTAGGCATGGTTGTGTACAGTAGGAGTTGGGATTGGACATGGGTGGGCAAGAAGGTAGTTTTCCCTTCCTTGGTTTGGCAGTAGCACTACAGCACATTCTGCAGCCCATTCAGAAAGGGCTTCTAACCACCACCATTCAAGAAAGAAGAACATACCATCAAGGAGGCTATGGTAATCCATGGGGGTTGTTCATTTGCATAAATTGAAGTCAGCCACCCATGATAAGAAGAAATTGGCTTCCTCCTCCCCACACCCCAGCACCCCAGGGGCTTTACATTTTCCCATAAATCATGCAGCCAGACGTGATGATAGTAATGGATCATAATCCAAGGAACAAAATAAGAATCCATGAATCATGCTAACACATCATTTTGGCATTTTCCTGCCAAATTGAATCTAATCAAAAAAGAATCAATAAACCCTGGGTTCAATCCCTGATTTAAAAAAAAAAAAAAAAGAGAGACAATGTGTAAAACCTTAGGCCAATACTCTTCAAATGCCTCAGTCTTGGGCTGGGGATGTGGCCTAAGCGGTAGCGCGCTCGCCTGGCATGCGTGGGGCCCGGGTTCGATCCCCAGCACCACATACAAAGATGTTGTGTCCGCCGAAAACTAAAAAATAAATATTAAAAAAAAATCTCTCTCTCTCTCTCTCAAAAAAAAAATGCCTCAGTCATGAAAAGCAATGAATAAAGATCTGCTCTAGAATAAGTGAATCCAAGAAAGGAGATAAGACAACTAAATTCAAATATGATCCTAGATTAGTTCTGGAGTCACAAAAAAAAAAAATTGTTTTTCACTCTAAAGGACATTAATGGGTCTTGACAAACTTTGGATAAGATCTGAGATTTAGTAATGATATTCTATTAATCTTAAATTCTTGATTATCATATTGTGATTATGAAAGAGAATATCATTGTATTTAGGAATTAACACAAATACTTAGGGCTAAAAAGGCATCAAACATGCAGACTTTCAAAGGATTTAGAAAAATGTACATGCATACACACACAGAAACGGAGATTAATATAAAATGTTGACTATTAAAGAATCTAGGCAATGAGTGTGTAAAAAACTTTTGGTACTATTTTTGTATCTTTTCTCTACACCTGAAATTATTTCAAAATAATAGCTAAAACCTTTTAATCTCCTCAGAAAATCCGAAAGGATCAAGTCTGATTACACATATTAATGGTCCTTTAAAAACATCAGTCTTGGCTTTTCTTTCTTAAACTGACTCCCTCATCTTGCCCTGTTATCTTGAGGTTAGAATGGATAGTGAGACTAGAGAAACCAGTGCCTGCTTGTGCTACCTGGGAAAACTCTCAAGATGTTCCTTTCAGTGAGACAATAATGGACACCCTGGTGGAGGGTACTGACATCTTTGAAAAGTTTAATGGTGTTGTCCTTCATAGATTAGAATTGACAGATGTAGTAGCAATGGGGCTCCCTAGTACCAATTATAAATAAAAGAATTCCATAATGGCAAAGGACAGATATCATAGTGGGACATGTATAATAGGAAGCAAGTGTAGGATATAATCCAGGTGTCTTGACCCACAAGAATCTATACTGATGGCTAAGAGATCATGATGTTCTCAAGGGAAAGTTAGAAAGGGAGGTGGGGTGGTATATTTTGTTGCTGGCAAGTGATGCATAGCTTATACTTAAAAGTTAACATAATACTGATGTTAGTCTTTACAATGAAAATCATGGTCCCTCAACAGTTTCCTGACATAAACCACTCCACAGCTTCAGAACCCAGTGATTAAACAAAATATATCCACTTGAGAAAATTCTTTTCAATGCCACAAGAAAACACAGTGAACAACTCTCTACTTCTACCCCAGGAAATCCAAAGCTATTAACTAGAATGTGCACTGAAGAATTTTTTTTTTTTTTTTGTACCAGGGATTGAACCCAGGGGTGCTTAACCCCTGAGCCACATCCATAGCCCTCTTTGTATTTTATTTAGAAACAGGGTCTGAGTTGCTTAGGTCCTCACTAAATTGCTGAGGCTGGCTTTGAACTTGCCATCTTCTTGTGCCTCCYGAGCTGCTGGGATTACAGGTGAAAATGCCACCATGCCCCACAAGAGAAGAAAACGTAAGGTTTTGATAACCTGTGGATATAGTATCTAAGTACAAGCTGACACTGTACAAGTAGAATGAATGATCCTCCAGTTAAGAGTGGGAACTCATGGAAGTCAAAGAATGACTGCAGGTTTTGCCCTTCTTTTCTATATAGTTGTGGATTTTTATGTGGTGCTGAGAATTGAACCCAGTGCCTCACACACTCTAGGCAAGCGCTTCACCACTGAGCCACAAAACCCAACCCCAATTTAATCTTACAGGACCACTCTACAGGTTGCTGCTATAATATGGATACCAGTACATTATCCTACTCAGTCCTTAAGTAGGATATAAATTCAGTAGTTCACAGAGAACTCACATTGATCTTTATGATAGAAAGGGCCAACTGTAAACCTGAGTCTGCTTTACCTTGATAAGACAGTAAATCAGAACCAATTCATGCAAAGAATTGCAGATATCAATGCCACATTCAAAGACCTGAAGAAAATAGTAGTGAGTTTCTGTAACCCAATTCAATATACCTCTCTGGGCCTTGCAACTACTAGATGGAAAAAGTTCTGGAGATGGATGATGGTAACAATTATACAATATGAATGCACATAATGACGGTGGTTGTGCCCTTAAAATAGCAAATTTTATGTATATTATACCACAATTTTAAAAAACTGATGAGATTTTATGCTACTGTACAGTAGGAACCAGTGGAGTACTTCAATTGTAACTACTATTTTGGATGCAGTATCTTTTAAAATTATAGCTTTATAATTTATACACAATAAAAAGCCTTTAAAACTATACCACTCAGTGGTTTTTAAAGTCATACACTGGTCACCACTATCTAGCTCCAGAACATTTCATCAACCTAAAAACAAACACTATACCCACTAACATCCCTCTACCCCTTTCAGTCAGTCCCTGGCAGCCAACTAATCTGCTTTATTTCTCTATACCTTTACCTGTTATGGACATATCATATGAATGAAATCATACCAAGGCACAAGGTGGCCCCTTGTGCCTGTTTTTTTCCATAATGTACTGGTATCCACACTATAACACATAGTTCATTCACTTTTATGGCTAATATTCCATTGTAGAGCTATATTATATTTACTTATCCATTCATCACTTGATGGCAATTTTAGTTGTTCCTAGTTTTTGGCTTTTATGAATGTTGCTGCTATAAACATTCATGTACAGCTTTAGTATAAACTTGTTTTCAATTCTATCTGGTATATATCTAGGAGGAGAATTGCTGGACCATGTGGTAATTAAGTTTAACCACTTGAAACACTGCCAAACTTTTGCAAAGTAGCTGTACCATTTTATATTTCCACTGCAATACATGGTGATTCCACTTGCTCCACATCATTGTCTTTTTTATTATAATCATTCTAGTGAATATAAAGGAGTATCTCATTATAGTTTGTTTTGTGTTTTTCTTTTCTTTTTTCGGTTCTGGGGACAGAACCCAGGGTTTTGTGCAAGCTAAGCAATCTACTGCTGAGGAATACTGTAGTCCTCACTGTGGTTTTGATTTGAATAGACCCATCTTTACCAAAAAAAGAAAAACCCAAAACCTCAGCCTCTAGCACTTGGTATGTGACTTCTAAACTGACCAAGGAATATGTCTCAAAAGAAGCATCAAAGGCTGGGGATACAGCTCAGTTGGTAGAGTGCTTGCCTTGCATGCACAAGGACCTGGGTTCAATCCCCAACACCATTAAAAAAGAAGGACCAAAAGCAGTTCAATTTAACCTAATGTGTTAGGATTATTATTCCTTGGATACAACAGGCTTACATATTTCTATTTATTGTCATGTGACTTGACAATGCATCCTGTAGGAATAATCCATGTCCTTGCCTTTTGACTTTGGGACTGACCATGTGACATGCTCCAAATCAACAAAATTATGAAAAGATATGACATTTGCCACAACTGGCAAAAGCCTACCATTGTATGCTTCCTCTCAGTCTTTCTCTCCTTTACTAGCATAGCTCAGACAGGGGCTATTCCATAAGCATGGGTCCCACAACGAGAAGATACARAACAGAATCCCAGTCTGCCTGTAGCCAGGCAAAGCCAACCCTGACACATAACAGATATAAGACATTTTAATCAAAGCTATTTTTAAGTTCATGAAAGAAAAAACCTCAAGAGTTCACACTAAACTATTAGAGGCATTGATTAGATCAATTTATATATTGCCCTGAAGACATTCATTTTTGTTTAAAAGGAAGTTACTAATTTATCCTGATAAAGATTTAAAATGGCAAATAAAACATTAAATTCATAGTGCTAGTTTTAAAAATATTATTACCCATTATTTATTTGTTTAAAAAATACCTAAGTTTTTCCTAGGTTATTTACAGTCAGTGTATAATTTCAGCAAAACTTTAATCAATTGTTATAATTCAACTCCAGGTAGTATTAACTTTTCTTCTCCTCTGATACTTGTGCCAATTTCGCCTTTTCTTTTAATTCCTTCTGTTCTCTGGAATATTGTTCAAATATTGGTTGATAAATATATATTCCTCCAGCAAATCCAAGGACTCCAGCAAAAAGCAGTTGTGGAAGAGTCAATCTCCCAAACATTGTTGCAACAAACACAGAATAAAACAAAGGTGGTTCTGAAAAGTTATATTCCACATTCAGCAAATCTCTTCATATCTCTGTACAAAGAAAAGAGGAAACAGAGCAATACTTAGTATAATCACTTTAAGATTTCATATCACTACTTTGCTTGAGAGTGAACAACATTTTTTGTACTATTGAAGCATCACTTTAACTATGGGAAATAAGGTAAGGAGATGATGTAAGACAAAGCTAAATCCTCTTTTATTACAGTATGTTCTCCATGGTTTTAAATGGATAACTTAATATGGGAAAAAGATGGCAGAGAATGACACACTCTTTATGCTTTTAATTCATACCACAAAACAAACTAAAACAAAACAAAACATTTGGAAAAAGCTGTGATTGCCTCTGAGAAATGTGAACTGGAAGCAAGAGTAAGGTAGGCAGAGAATTATTACTTTCCATTAGTCCTTTTTGGATTATTCATGTTTTTTAGTACTATGTATCGTAAGAACAATTGTTTAATGAGCTAAACGATTTAATGAGTTCCACCTATAGTGGCCGACGCCTGATATCCCAGCGACTCTGGGGCTGAGGCAGAAGGACTGCTAGTTGCAGACCAACATGGGAAACTTAGCAAGAACTTAAGTAACTTAATGAAACCCTGTCTCAAAATAAAAAAAAATTAAAAAGGGGGTGGAGATGTGACTCAGTGGCAAAAAGCATCGTTAGGTTCAATACCCAGCAAAAAAAATTATGTTTCTTTTTTTGTTTTAGTAAGCACAGAAGATATCAAACATAAATTATTTGCCATCTATAATTTATATTTTAAGAAAAATATGYTTTTAAGAAAACTATAATGAAATGTTATATTTTTAACAACTGAAGGACTCTAAGGCTTTCCAGAAAGTAATATTCCTTGCCAACATATTCCTTTCTAGAATAAGGAAAGCACAGTAAAGAATTTGTTTACTCGATTTTAACATGGCCTCCTACACCAGCACCTGAGGTCACAAATATCAGATTATAAACTAACTAGCCTGAGCTTAATATGCCTGGAATGTAATTTAAACTAACTTGGGCAAGAAAAGCCTGTTTCTCTTATCTCTTATATTTGAGTCAATAAGTGACAAATTTCATCAATCAGGCTTGGTTCAAGGGTTACGGGTTAAATCAACACCCTCCCTCCCCGATCCTTTCAGCCTGTTGCTACATAGGTGCAATATGCTACCCTGACTACCCCGTTCAACAGGGAATTTCTGTAAGACCACCGAAGCAGTGCAATGTTACACACTTAGGTTTATGATTATCATTACCAGTACCGCCAGCACTCGGCACGTCCGACCGTCCCGTGGCCGCTCCGCGACGCTTCCCCAGCGCCTTCGCCTGTCCCCGCAAGGTGAGATTGGTCTCCTTCCGGCAGCGCTTCCGGGCGTCGGAGCAGAGACAAAACCAAAGACAGGCAGCTATTCCCGTCCTCCGCGGCTAGGCAGCGCCGAAGAGAAAACAGAGGAGCCCTCTGCAGAAAGCCAGCACTCTGCTGCGGGGACTGCCAGGCGCGTTGGCTTCAAGACTGGCCCTTGCCCGGATACCTCCGCGTCTGCAAGCGACGGCTGCTCGCGAAGACCAAACTTAGTGCAGCAGCAGCAGCGCGCGTTTCTCCAGCTTCCTTCCGTCCTTGGAAGGTGGCGGCTGGGGAACCTCTGCTGGCCTCCAAGCAGGTGGAAATGGAGCCGGAAGGTGGCGGCCGCAGCTTTGCTTTCCGCGCTCTCCAAAACCGCTCCCACGAGAAAACAAAGCTGCGAAAGAGAAAGTCTACCTTGTACGTCAGCGCCCAGGACCAGAGCCGGCGCCGGGGAGGTGAGTGAGGGGACTGGATGGAGAGCTACAGTCCGATTCAAAGGAAGCGCCCTACTACTTTTCACTGTCAGCTAGTTACCAGTTTCGCTTTGTGCTGCCAGATCTTAAAATAGACTTGAATACTGGAAATGCAGGTTTTAACTTAAATCTGATTTTTAAATGTTGGTAACTAAATTAATATTAAAAAAAAAAACTGGCATACAATCTGCCCATTTGTGGTTAAGAGCAGATTTGCGCAACAGCCGGCCGACCTGAATTTGAATATTTAGCCTTCTATAACTTTTTACTCTGGACAAGGCAATGTAATTCCTGAGCCTTAGTTTCCTCGTATGTAAAATGGAGCTAATAATATCTATCCCATAGCGTTGTTTTGAGGGTTAAATGACATACATGTAAAGGAATTATCCCATTAACTGGCATACATTATCAAAAAGAGATTTTAAGATACAGAGGAGCTGGGTTGGTGGTGCATGCCTGTAATCCCAGAGACTCCCGAGGCTGTCGGAGATTGCAAATGCAATCTGAGGCCAGCCTCAGGAATTTAGTGAGACCATGGTTCAAAATAAAAARGGCTGGGGGTGTAGCTCAATGGTAAAGCGCTTCTGGCTGCTACTACTATTACTACTCTTACTGATGATGATGAAGATATTCCACTGTTGACAGAGTTGTATTCTAATTAGTAATTTGTTTACTAGATTCTTTCATTAGGCCCATATGTAGTATAACCTAATTAGCTTGAGGACTTAGTCAACCCAGTCTTTTTTCCAGTATTTATCTCAATATTCTCTGTACAGTAAGTTGCAAGACAAGTTGGTTTAAATGAAAGGAGTGGCCATCACCCAGTTGTGAGGCTCTGGCCCTAGAGTACCTTTCAGCCCTGGTCAACTTTGAGAGTTCACCACTGTGCTTTAACAAAGGTTAAGCTAGGGGCCAAACAGAAGGGCAGATTTTAAGTTCTGCAAGTGGAATGCCTGTCTTTTTTGCCACAATTGCTTATTGTTTTGTTTTTCAGATCTTCTTGGAGAAAACATTTATCTGGTTTTGTTTACCATTGCTTTACGAATATTTAATTGCTTTTTGGTCCAGACAAGTTTTGTTCCAGATGAATATTGGCAGTCTCTTGAAGTTGCACATCACATGGTTTTCAAATATCCTTTCTAGTTTCTTTTCCAGACAATGAATGTGTATTTACCTTAGGAATGAGTCCTCTTTTGATACACATTTTCTCATAATTTCAACTCATCAAAGAATGCCATTGCTGAATACCAATATTTCTTCTGTATCTTTCTTTGATGTTAATATACTTGACACATCCTTTAGTGTGTATAGTCCCACAATGCTTGTACTTGGCAGATTCAGATAAAGTAAAAAACACATTTCTGTCTTGAATCAGTCAAAGCATTTAGTTGGCCAACTGAAGTTTTAATTCTGATAGCCAATATAAAATACTGGGGTTTAAAATTTCATTGTTGGTCTGGGGATATAGCTCAGTTGGTAGAGTGCTTGCCTTGCATGCACAAGGCCGTGGGTTCAATCCCCAGCAACACACACACACACACACACACACACACACACACACACCACAAATAAATAAATAAAATTCCAGTGTTAAAGAGTAAAATATTATTTTATATATGAAAGTGTAAATAGATTATTTCAATACTATTTGACATTTAATCCTTAATATTACTAATTATGGTTATATGACCTGGGAATGGACAGAAAGATTGAGGGGTTATACTTACCCTTTAATCTTTGCAAGCATTTACAAGATTCTGCATCTTTTGGGGAAAGATAGTGTTCAGCTGCTGGTAAGTTTAAATAAAAGTAATCAAAAATGTTATTAAAAACATGTATTCTATCATTTTTCTAGAGTTAATTGGTATTAACTAAGTTATATTATTGGTACCACGATTGTTTTTAGAAGTCTACTGTTGCTAAAGTCCAACCTCATCTGGAATGCCCAAGATGCCGAAGACATACAAAACACAAAACTGGGTAGGGGCAGTGGCACATGCCTATAATCCAGTGATTCAGGAAGCTGAGGCAGAAGAATCACAAGTTCCAGGCCAACTTCAGCAGTTTAGCAGGACTCTCAGCAACTCAGGGAGACACTGTCTTAAAATAAAATATAAAAAAGGCTGGGGCCAGGTGCAGTGGTGCAAGCCTGTAACCCCAGCCATGTGGGAAGCTAAGGCAGGAGAATTATAAATTTGAGGCCAGCCTCAGCAGTTTAGTGAGGCCCTAAGCAATTTAGCCAGACCTTTTCTCCAAAATAAAAAGAGGCTGAGGATGCAACTGAGTGAAAGCACCTCTGGGTTCAATCTCCAGTAATACCATCACCCTCAAAAGAACACAAGACTAAGCATATCCTGCTATGAGGAATTCTGTTAATATATGCAGATTTTCAAAATAACTTTTATATACACATAATTTGAATTTTAGAAGTATACTTCCTTCATAAAAGAGTCACTTGAGGCCTGGGGTTGTAGCTCAGTAGTAGAGCGCTCACCTAGCATGTGTGAGACACTGGGTTCGATTCACAGCACCGCATATATATAATAAAATAAATGGTCCATTAACATCCAAAAAAAATTTTAAAAGAATCACTTGAGATTGGTGTTTTTTTTTTAACTTGTAAATGGAAAACCATGTTATGTGAGCTTATGAAGACAAAACACATAAACCCAATCAGTATTTAGTGTTGAAATTCAAATTTAGAAAAAATTAATATGACAGAAATTTAATGATATATATAATCATTGTGCAATGTAGTAACTGGCCATCAATAGTAAATAGGATTGTAATTCCTAGATGTTGAATTTTACTAGGTCAGTTTCCAAGATAGGTTACCAATAGTACAAATTTTTCTGTAGCCTCACATTCTAGATCTTTTAAGCTGTCATCAGGTTGAACTAGAAGTTTAGGCCTTCTGTATTTTTCAGTTACAGAGAGCTAGTGGCTCAGTATTCCAAATCTTGGGGTGTTTTTTTAATACTTTTATTTTATTTATTTATGTATTTATTTATATGTGGTGCTGAGGATTGAACCCAGGGCCTTAAACATGGAAGGTGAGCACTCTACCGCTGAACCATAACCCCAGCCCCTCTTGGGGTATTTTTTTTGGAGCCTAGAAAGACACTGAAGTTCTAGGGGGTATTTTTTTTTCTTAATAATTT